CCTCAACTTCTTTCTTTCGGCCAGCCCGCTCTACCTCAAGAGCCTTATCTTTGCCCTACAGCGCCTCCTTATACCGCTGCTCATCTTTCTTTATTTGCTCAGCTAAGGCATGGCGGGTCTTGAGCAGATCCTCATTCTCAGCCTTCAACCTCCTATTCTCCTCCTCGAGACGCCTATTGTCGCCCTCAAGCACAGGAATCGGGCGACCAGTGCTATTCAGAGTTTCCTCGAGGAGAGGCACGACGGAGACCAAAGTCTGTAGCAAAAATAAAATTAAGTACAACACAAGGCAGGGTGCTCGAAAATAAGGTTAAGAAGGAAATGTACCTGCGTCACCGCACGAACGGCATACTCGGCCTGATTACAACGATTCACCCCCCAACGATGTGTATCGTCGAACGGTAGAAAGCTCATCAGCCGAGACACGGTCTCTCGGGGACCAGCGGACACAAGCGAAAGAGAAGAATACGAGGAAGGAGGATTCCCAGGAGAAGCAGCTTCGGGTTGCGGTCGCTTAGGGGAAGGAAGGGGATTAGAGGAGTGGGGACCAGTCCCCTCGGTTCGGGGACGTTTCTTAGAGACGTCACCCTCTTTTGATGAATGGGTGGAATGACGCTCGACTTGCCTGGGAGGAGGAGAAGGAGCTCGCTGTTTGCTTGAATGGGAGGAGGAACCGACGCCAGGCTTCTCTGGTCGAGAGGGACCATCTTTGGTCGATGACGGGCCCTTGGTCCTCTCGACGTTGGCGGGAGCGTCCTTGTGAGTGGACCTCCTATCACCAGATTTCTTCAGGTCCGGCTTATGCAAAAATCCCTCTGCACAGATAATAGAGTTACTTAGAAGCTGATCAATAACAGTACACAAATCTAAGGCATGATGATGACTCGAGCACCTGCTCGAGCTGTCCTATTAACTTCAGCAAGCTTAGGGTCGACACGAATTTGAAGAATGGTCTCGGCGAGAGGAGGAGAGAACACCTTATGAGTCAAAATTCCACAATAATGGAGAAGATTATCATTCTCAAGGAGAGGAGTCGAAGCAACAGGATTGGAATTCCATACTTGGATACGACGGTCAAAAATTGGGTTAGCGGCAGGACGAGCAGGTTTTAGGGGTACTTCGGTAAGCCAGGGAATGGGCGCCCACGGATAAGGTTGAGGAGGACGAACATATACAAACTGGTCTTTCCATCTCGGAACATTAGATGGTCGATCAGTAATAAAACAAGCTTTATTCCGGCTCTTTAAGTAAAGACCGTCCGCTTGTGTGGAAGCAAAATAGCAATATACGAAAAAAATCTAAATCTACCCTACCCATACGAACCATGGACAAAATAATAAAGGAAGCTAAAGTTCTAAATGCGTTGGGAGTAATCTGGTTGAGGGGCAGGCCATATAAACCACAAAGGTCGAGCAACGCTGGGCAAATAGGGAAACGGAGGCCTAGGTCGAAGTGGGAGCGAAAAAAGGTGTAGTAACCATCTGGAGGATTATCATAAGTATCATCACCGCCAGGGGTACGAGCAGCCCCGGGATGGCCAATCGCATCAAAGTTGAGATGGGAAGCGCTCGTAGAGGGTTTAGCGGGCTTAGATC